CTTCTATCTACGACGTCATTTTCCTTCATTGACCACGTACTAGAGGACTTAAACTACGGTGACTGAAGACCCGGAAGGTTGAAGAAGTGGCTGTAACATGAGCAGTATGAGACTAAATCCTACTTGGTACGATCATCAGCTACAATTCTATCGTGATGTGCCATCCCATTTTGCCAATGAAGTCCCCGTCTCAGCCAAGATCACTGTTCTCCCCCATTTTCCCTTCTCACACCCCCTACGCATTTGTCCGTGAACCGCGACGTCCGTGTAGGTTTCCACTCCACTGGTGGCTTGAAGGCGTACCTTCGATCTTGAGTATGCTCCCCACCATCAGGAAAGAAGGCTGCATGAAAGCCTGTAAGCAATGTGGATCCGCATCGAATGACACAACTCACGCTGTCCCTATCAAACTATGTTCGCCGTTTTCTTCATTGCCGTCAGGGGTAGCGCGTCGTTCTATCGCCCAACAGCAAGCTAGCCACAGAGAAATAACAGAACTACGCCGCACAACCCCAAGAACTGGATGTATGCTTACCTTTTTCCCCAGTTCCTCTTAGATGGGGTTGCTACCACTTGGGCGGGCAAGCCCTCAACGAGACTTTGTTAGTGTACGATTAACGACTTTGCCCTGGCTCGTTTCAAGCATTCAATGTATCCACAGCCAAAGAGCGTTTGCACCGCTGAAGAGCGACGGTGAGCAGCAAATGACGCTTTGCTTCATAACTCAATTTCCACACGTTCGAAGCACCTGTCTCTGGGACGCCGCACTGGGAATACCCCTGCGATCCAAACTCGAACGGAGGTGAATCCGGACAGGGCTGGCAGCTGCTATTCCTCGGTTCTAAGGAGTCGGAGTAGTTCTGTTCGGCGAGACGTTGCAATGAGTATTCAATCGGGTTGTCCTTTGCCTTCGTTCTAGAATAGAATTCAGTAATTACATTAGTTACGACAAAGATACTTAGTCACAAATGAGAATGAGTACCGTTCACAATGATTTTGCAAGTTGAATTTGAGCGGAAAAGGCTGTAGATGATCAAACATGACCGTCCTGTCAATCAGAGTGGCAGCAATTGTAGGGCCGATCTGTGCAGGAGGGGTTTAGGGAAATGCGACATAGACATAGACAACGTACCACCGCGATTCCAACTCTTCAATCCAATTCAAGTCCTTAATGCAAAGGTTTTGTTGTTCCAGTTTGCCGACGTCATGGCTGCTGAAGTCCTTCCAACCAGTCTCAGACAGGGGTTTGTAGCTGGTGGGGTGGTTGCACCAGAATCGACGTTCCAATTTATGTTTCCCGTTGCCCTGATAGAAAAGCCAAGATGAGGATACATAGTTCCTACATCACACTCGACCCACCTAGCCGCACAGACCAGCTTCTTCCGTTCCGCGCTAAACAGCACTGCTCGTCTCCGTAAATCTGGCCACTGAATTTGAAGCTGGCGGTGAGAAACACTTGATTGAAATTGGGTCGGTCAGTCCGTCCGTCTTGAACAGTGAGTAGCGCTTTTCTGGCAGCCTGAAAAGTAACTGATTGATAGATCAGATACGAAGAGCTCCCGTCGATGAGGGCTTACCATCTCAGCACGTCGAACTGTCCGGACCATTGGATGTCGTGCCTCGTCGCAATCTTGAGTCTGTTGTTGGTAAGCATACAGACAAGTGAGAACGGATATAACAGGCCCACCTCGACTTGAAACGTCGTTGCACTGCTTGTAAAAGTACGATTTATGATGGCGAGTTTGCCCCCCCCTTATTGGACACGTCATTTTGGTGAAACACTTCAAAAGGGCGAAGGCCCTTACATACGACGATTCCGCAATGTGAGCCGATCATGGACATCGAGTTGTACAACCCTTCTGCAGTCAAGAATTGTCGCGACTGATTATCAGGGAGTGTGTGAGAGTCGAAGTGGGGGACGATTCTCTTTATATCTAGAATGATCAGCTTCGTCCGAGGTAAAAAGGTCGAGAAGAACTCACAAGCAGTGCGCGCAGAGTGAAGGTACTAGTTTGTATGAGCGCCAGGCTGGCAGTGCCTAACACGTCACAAGTTGCAGCCACGGTCTATGGGAAGGGGAAGCCTGCTCCCTCCGCGTATACTATCGATTCCACACTGCGCAAAAACCTACTACTCCCAATGTGGCTTGGAATACAGGAAGGGTGCTCGGTTTTGAACCTAAGGCTGGGCCCCCACAAACATTGTCACTCTGGAGAAGATGACACCGAAGAGTGCTTTGCTGGCGGCCTCGATGACGCACAACTTCACTTTTCAATTCATGATTAGATCGAGAAGTTTCCGTAAAACCGTAAGACCTTACAGGACACCACTTTCACGCCTGCCATTTGAACCGAGGGCCAACTTTTGTGAGGGAAGGATATGTCCCGCCCAGTAGTCAAGAAATCAGATGGTGGCGAACGCCACGATGTCCCTAACGGCAAGAACAGTCAGCTTCAGAAAAGGGGCGAAGCGCAAGAAACAACTCACCGTAAAGGGCGCAAGATCAAAATTTCCACACACTTGAGGCCCCGCTCTGCATCCACGTCGCTGTCTACAAAGCCACAGGCTCATAGAGGTCCTTTATCTCTTTGAACTAAACTCCCCCTACCCAAAAATCTCTCGGGCCAGAAGTACCATTGCTGATCGACATCTTCACGAAAGTCATGGAGGCCCATGGAGTTTGAGAGTAGGAGCTGAGAACCTAGCCAGGGGCCTTCCTTCTTGAGACCGAAAAGATGCGAAATAGGCGATCGCCGACGAGGCCTGGGACGTAGCGGCAGTAGAGGTCGGATTCAGAGATGGCGGAGAGGTAGATGGAGCCGGTGTTGGCTGATTTGTGGGCGTAGTCGGCCATCCTGGTTTCAGTTTTTCAGAATAATCCAAAATTGAACTCGACGAAGTGGGGTCGAAGACGGACTCGACAAGGCCACGCCACGGTAGCAGGAGTGAATGGCACGAAGATGAAGTCGACGTCCAAGAGTCCAAAGAGGGAGCAACACCCCTACTATGCACGATACACTCCTGCAACGGTTTAACGGATCAACATGCTCCGCGTAAACATCCCTCCCTCTCGTTCGCATCCGCCGTCTGAGATTGGGCTTGAGAGGTACAACAAACGATGATTCCCGATTCCGAGAGATTATGTGCGTATTGCGTGGAATCGAGGTTGTATCCCAAGTCCAACCTTTTTGAATCTCAACTACCTTTCACGTCATTCAGGCCCACAACTCAGCCGCGCGCTGCGCCCACCCATCATCGACTACGTCGATTTTAGTAGTGGAGGAAGGACTTTGCGTAGCGATCACGCGGAAATGACGAGGCAGAGTTTGTGTTGATCAAGGCGTACATGGAAGTTTGGATGAGGCAATTGAGGTGGAAGACGCGGGATTCGAAATGGAATGGGGGATTGAGGCGGAAGGAAAACCAGAGGAAAAAGTTGGAGGATTACTTTGCTGAGGAAGGGCCGAGTGCCAGTCATAATATGGGAATCAAATTGAAACACCCCTGTCGAGATTTCAGTGAGGTTTCAACCGCCCCTGCTTCGACATCATGCAGGAGGTTGTCTGCACGCAGGGATGCTGGTGAGGTTGGCCATGTGAACTCGGATGGTGGGATTAGGATCTGAAGCTGGAGGGTCGAGGGAGTGGGAAGGAGGGTCGAAGCCTCGCGATTATGGCGGGGGTGTGCCGCATGGTGCTTCAACGAGTTCTGGTTTACACCGACGTACTGGTTGTGTACGAACACTTTTGGGTGTTTCCAGAGTGGGAAATTTAAAAGGCCTTTGATCATCACGCACTTCAGAGGGTGGCAATTTTACATTGTGAGAAGGAAGTTCAAAATTCGAGAGACGTACCTTTGTCACAAAGTTTTCTGCAGTGTTTGTGGTGCAACTCAAGGCCAAGTGGATGATAAGGAGGAATCAGTCGTATGTAATGTTTGCGGTATGTTTGTTGATTGAGTTGTCTAGTTCACTACCGCCATAGGTCCAAACGTTGCCTTCTTCGCCGTGAACGCGGAATTTCAGCAAGACGACGGTATTGCGCATGCTCGCCGATGAAGGCGTTGATCATGCATCATGAGTCAGCAATGTTTCGCCTGGTACATCCCACTGAGAGGGAAATTTCGTTTTATTCATTCCATCCCAGTACGCTTTTCAACGATATTCTCTCAGTAGGTGGCCACTCATGTTAAACTTCAACAGCTTAGGTTCAATCGGAGAGGTCTGGGAGAGGTTGCGATGTTTGACGAAGCTCGGTTTTGGCTCGTTAGAAACGCAAGCGACGCCGTGATCATTGACTACGCAAATCTTGAGCTACACTCAAATTGACTACCTATTTCCGTGAGGCTTTATGAGGTGGGTCTTCTTGGGGTTTTCTTCAACCAACTCATTAGATTGATTTTTATGACGAACATTCGCAAGTACTAACTGGATGCCAGTAGTATTACAGCCAAAGAACGCAACCTGGGGTCTCACTACCTCGTTCAAGAGGAGCCGAAGGGCATCAAGGGGAGGCTAGTGGATTTACGAAACCTTGGGGATGGCTCTTACCGAGATTGTGAGTTCCGCCATGCTCATTCTACTGGCGAAGGTACTTATCCAGAGTTTAGTGTGACACTTTGGCGAACCAAGGTCACTATTGCTATTCTGTGGAAGAGTGCGGGGCGCCTCTCACGACTGTCATGAATGTCAACCCTTTACTACAGCGGATGCGAAGCTCCCTCGGCACAGGGAATCACCCGTTTCGCGGAACGTCCGCGCTCGGGCCTACGTTTTGCAGAATCCCTCAGGGAAAGGTCGACATGAGCCTCGTCATCTACAATCGACGCTTGCCTTTCGAGAAATGCCAACGCCAACGCGACTGATCTTGTCGCGAAGCACATTCTCCGTACTGCGCCGTGGAAGTTCGTCGTGTCACGTTCCAGAAACACGCCTAGTGGTTAGATTTCAATGCCTCGAAGGAACGGGAACGGAACAACCTCACAATACGTTCTACCGGTTTGCTTTGAAAGTAAGCCTCGTTACTGGCTTTGTTGTGTATGTGCTAACCTATTATACTAGGTCTTGGCTCCTTCCTGGATTTTCACCCAACACGACCCAACACGTACGCTCTTTTTCCTTGGGTTGGTGGTGCGTATTGGGTTAAACTTCTGATCAACATGTTAAGGAAAGCTTCTGATCATTTTGGCCAGAACGAGTGCTGGCACCTGGAACATCACTGCAACGACATTCGCGGGCATGAACCACGTCGACGCGCATCTTCATGACAACTTGGGATTATTGTCCTCCAGGTGAGCTGGGGCGACACGTCAAAATTCTATCTACTGACTATTCGTTATGCCTACATAGCGTTTGTTTCCATTCAAGTCACAATTTCACTTCCTTCTTTCAATCCAGAAGCATGTCCGCAACTGGGGGCTTCGATTTCATATCTAGGGGTGGCGCCGCACAAATTCCTAACATGCAATCACGAGTCATATCTCATCTTTCACAAAGTCAATGCAAGCCGTAGGTTGTGGAGACCGGAGGAGGAGCACACATGGCTCCGCAGCTTGACACTACTTCCTTCAAATGTGACCCGCTCCTCTCCGTAAGTACGCTTTCTAATATTCCCATTTTCTCTCACCTCTAACGTAAGTTGTATCTAGATTATCAACTAGCCGCAACGTAGCCTAGCCAACAGTACGTTCGCAACGGAAAGACCTTGGCGTGCGCTGGCACAATTGTGGAGAAAGTTGGCTACTTTGTGGAAGTTCCAGCCATCATGTGAGCCCTTTCTAAGCACTGGCCTCCGACAGCATGGCGAAAGTCATAGGGCACACCCTGTACTCACTTCGGAAACCCAAATCACCCTTTGTTATTTTCCGCGGACGCTTCTCGAGGCGATCCCCACCTCAACCCCCTTTTTGACGACGGTCATGAACAACTGATGACACTACTAACCTTCTGTTCTGTGCTGTGAATGTAAGGCAGAGCCCTGTACGGGTTCAATGTCGCGTCTTCCTCGCTTTTCATTTCAACGGACTCAATCAACCAGCTACTACTGCTCAAGCGCTCGCAGGTGATACCGTCACATCTTCTGACAGTCACACCGAGCGCCTTATCCGACACTATCACTTGAAACGAGGCTAAAATTTCTATTTCAGTCAGTCTTCACCCATGCCTGCCGTGTAAAGCGTGTTCCGAGCGCTAAGCCCCTCCCTTTCACCAAAACCACCATGTCTGCCGCGAGGGGTAGCTCAACGGGAAGCCCCAGCGTTGAGATTACAGGTAACCTCCCAGGTTTTTGCCCGAAGTCAAACATCTGACACCCATTGACTAGAAATCCGCGTTTCATCCCAGCACATCCTCAAATCGGTCCAACTTTCGATTGGATCGTTCGAGCGGGAATCACCTTGTCTCCTGAACGCAAAGATTCACAACTTTGAGTTGTCATCCCCCTGGTGAGCCGATGATCATGTGTAGCATTGGACGACAAACCCAGTCAAAGCAGTCAACTTTCGCCTTCAGAGTCCCTCTATCTGCAAGTCCGATTCCGCGGATTGTTTCGTGCTGCGTCGAAGAGCAAGATACCTCTCGATGAACTGCTAAGCAAGGTCGGCCCCCACTTCTCCGGAAAACAAGGCAAGTGCCTCCCTGCTGCAATCGCTCCTGTCTTGCTGATGCAGGACTTTCTACTCTAGAATGGTCAAAATCATTTGACAAGTTCGATGTCGTCCTGAAGTTTAGCCGATACGCAGGGGTGTGTGCACTTCTTCCTCAAACGCAAAAGCGTCCGCCTAATGCAGGTGCTATCGATCTTAGAATGCTTTAACCAAGGCAGAACCTCCGACGAGTGGCGACCTACAACCCACAACGGATGAGTTATTCAAGTTGGTCGAACGGTTAGTCTGCTTAATCCCCGACTACTCTGACTAAACCTTACCGCTAGGTTCCGAGTCCTGGTCATCGGCAAAGTAACCCTCTTATACCTCTATTGTCAGGTATTAGCCCACAGTTTGTTTCCCCGTCTTCTCAAGATCCGCTCCTAAAGCTTGTCCTTCCCCAGACCGTGGCTCATTCAGAAGCTGGCGTGTCGGATATCAATACTGAGATTATATCCAGCGAAAATGGAAGATTTGTTCTGCACGACAGCAAAGCGTGACTTAATCATCCAATTCCCTGTGTACTTTATTGTCTATGTACACATGCCATAATCCAAACAAAAAGAAGCCAGTGAAATGAACTTGTATAGGACCAAGAGATGGTGATATGGAGGATGTACACGAAAGGCAGTAACGCAGCTCACATTCAATGCGGGCTGCTTGAAGCTTCAGCTTGTACAATGCCCTTTCCGGAGTTTCCCTCATGTAGCTCTCGACCAAAAATGTCTCCCTTCTGCACGCGCCAGATGACATAGTTGAAGAGCCCTTAGGGTAGCAGTCCGCTGATTCGTGTTACGACCGAGTGAATAGAACATCGTAGTCGAAAGACGAGTATCGACTGTAGATGAGGTATTTGATGAGTTCATCGACCGCTCTGTGCAACTATTGCGAGAAAAGCCCCAGTAAAAGGCTCAGAGGTGAATTCGATGATGTTATTCCATTGAGGGACATTCGTGAATTCTTGTTTACTGATACAGAAAGGTGGTGAAAGGTTGGTGGGAAACACCCAAGTAAACAAACTATATCTCAAGAACCTGAACGTGAAGGACGGACTTGTAACATGAAGATTGCGGGGGTCGCCGTGGGATGGCTGGACACTGGACTCCTGTGAGTCTCTCCAGTTGTTGACCTCGTCATGGATGTCCTCAGGCTCCAGTATTGTAATTTTTTCCTGTTCTCCTCGTCTTGTTCGCAGCTGTAAAGGACACTGCAAGGCTCGGAATGGTTTGTGGGAGATTGTTGCTGGTTCTGTGGGTGTTCGCTGGGTGCTCGTCTGGTGATCGTTTTGGTAGATTTGTGTGACTGCGCCTCTTTCCTCCATGCACCTTCCTCAAAGGTCACAGATTCAGCTATGGCGGAATGCGCAAATGACAGCGACTTCTCGAGGAAAAACAGCTCAGTGAAAGTCGCAACCCAGGGAGCTACCCAGGTTTGAAGCACGTCGTGGCATCCCTTTGGAAGCGGACTTTCTCTACGGCGGATCTTGAAAGTCGCAGGTTAGATGTCATTCGAATTTACGGTAAGTGAGCTCTTATGCTGTGCACCTGCAAACGAGAATGATTGTGACCTTGCAAGCGGAAAATGCTGTACGTGATCACACAGCGATTGTAGGGCCGATCTGTGCAGGAAGGGTTTATGGAAATGCGACACAGGCATAGACAACGTACCACTTGCGATTCCGACTTCAATCCAATTCAAGTTCTAAATGTGAAGGTTTTGTAGGGGTCCAGACGTTCTACCAACCAGAATATTTTGTAACTGGTGGGGAGGTTGCACCAAAATTGATGTTCCATTTTATGTTTCCCGTTGCCCTAATAGAATAGCCAAGATGAGTATACATGGTTCGTAAATCAAACTCGACCCACCTAACCGCACAGACCAGCTTCTTCCGTTCCGCGCTGGGCAGCACCGCACGTCTACGTAGCTCTGGGCACTGCATTTGAAACTGGCGGTGAGAAACCCAAAGTGGGTCACTGACCAGTCCGTCACGGTCTTGAACAGTGAGGAGCGCTTTTCTCGCAGCCTGAAAGGTAACTGATCGATAAATCAGATATGAAGACCTCCCGTAGATGAGGGCTTACCATCTCAGCACGTTGAACTGTCTCGACCATTGAGTGTCGTGACCGTCGTCGTAATCTTGAGTCTGTTATTCTGGTAAACACACAGTGTGAGAGCGGATATAACAGACCCACCTCGACTTGAAACGTGGATGTCCTGCTTGTAATCTATGACAGCGTTGAGATGCACGAGTTTGCCCCCTCTTATTTGACACGTCATTTTGGTGAAACACTTCAAAAAGGCGTAGGCCCTTACATACGACGATTCCGCAATCTGAGCCGATCATAGGCGTCGAGTTGTACATCCCTTCTGTGGTGAACATTTATCGCGACCGACTATCAGAGAGTGTGAGAGTTGAAGTGGGGACCGATTCTCTCTCGAGAATGATCAGCTTCGTACGAGGTGAAAAGCTCGAGAAGAAACCTACTATTCCCAATGTGTCTTGAATTACAGGAAGGGTGCTCGGCTTTTGACCTGGGCCCCCACAAACATTGTCACTCTGGAGAAGATGACACCGAAGAGTGCATTGCTGGCGGTCTCGATGTCGGCGAGACGCACAACTTCACTTTTCGATTCATAATCAGATCAAGAAGTTTCCGTAAAACCGTAAGACTTACATGACACCAGTTTCACACTTGCCATTTGAACCGAGGGCCAACTTTGGTGAGGGAAGGATATGTCCCGCCCAGTGGTGAAGAAGTCAGATAGTGGTGAACGCCACGATGTCCTTAACGGCAAGAACAGTCAGCTTCGGAAAAGGGGCGAAGCGCAAGAAACAACTCACCGTGAAGGGTCCAAGATCGAAATGTCCACACACTCGAGGCCACCCCAATCTACACCCACATCCTGTCTACAGAGCCGCAGGCTCATATACGTCTTTTATCTCTTTGAACCCACGAGGCCAACAATACCGTTGCTGATCAACATCTTCATGAAAGTCATGGATGGTGTTGGTTTTTTGGAGGAGGCCCATGGAGTTTAAGAGGAGGAGCTGAGGCCTTCTTTATTGAGGCTTAAAAGATGCGAAAAAGGCCTTCGCAGACGAGGCCCGGGACGTAGTGCCAATACAGGTCGTATTCAGAGATGGTGGAGAGGTAGATGGAGCTGGTGGTGGCTGCTTTGTGGGCACAGTCTGCGATGCTACTTTCCCTTGTTCAGAATCCGAAGTGGGGGGGGGGCGGTCGAAGACGAATTGGACAAGGCCGGTTTGAAGGCGAATTCACCGTAGCAAGAGCGAATGGCACCGTCGAAGAGGAAGTCGACGTCGAAGAGTCCAAAGGGGGAACAACGCCCATACCATGCACGATACACTCCTGCAACGGTTCAACGGACGAACATGGTCCGCATCAACATTCCTCCCTCTCCTTCGCATCTGCCATCCGAGATTGGGCTTGAGAAGCACAATGAAACGGCGATACCCAACTCCGAGTGATTATATGCGTATTGCGTGGAGTAGAGGTTGAGTCCCAAGTCCAACCTTTTTGGATTTCAACTTCCTTTCACGTCATTCAGGTCCACGTAAACCCTGGCATTTCCCCTCACTGAACTGGAATCAAGCACAACATCCTCAGGCACTCAGTTCGCCCACCCAGCATCGAACGCGTCGATTCTAGTAGTGGAGGAAGGACCCTGGCGATGAAGCGGAAACGACGAGGCAGCGTGTATGTTGTCCAAGGCGTACATGGAAGTTTGGATGAGGGTCTGGATGAAGGGTCGATGAAATTTGAAGTGGAAGAGAGGCAGTTGAGGCGGAAGACGCGGGAATCGAAGTAGAATGGGGGATTGAGGCGGAAGGAAAACTTTGGATGATCGGGACGGGAGTCCCTCAGCCATATGTCTTCTTGCATTCCCCATTTTCGGTCCCTGGTCGTCACTCTGCGTGATTTGGCCCAAGATGGGCTACGTCCTCGTGCGGCTTTGGCTGGAAGAATCGAGGTCGCGTTCTAGGCTCTCCCTTTACACCGGCATCACTGCGTGCAGCCAACTTCCTTGAACAACTGCATGGTGTCGAAGGAGAGGCGGTTGAAACCTAACTGAATTCTCGACGAGGGTGCTTCGATTTGATTCTCATATTATGACTGGCACTAGGTCGGCCATGTAAACTTGGATGGCGGGATTGGGATCTCAAGGGGCGAGTACTACAGAGGAGGGTCGAAGCCATGCGATTATGGTGGGTTTATGTGGGGGGTATTGCATAGTGCTTCAATAAGTTGTGGTTTACACCGACTTGACACCGACGTACTGGTTGTGTACGAAGACTTGTATGTGTTTCCAGAGTGGTGGCCGGTGAATAGGCCTTTAGCAGGACTTGATCATCACGCGCTTCTGTTACTGAGGGTAGCAATTTTACATTGGAAGAAAGAAGTCCAAAATTCGAGAGGCGTACCTTTGTCACAAAGCTGTTTGTGGTGCAACTCAAGGCCATGATGTTAGAGGATGATAAGGAGAAACGAATCGTATGTAATGTTTGCCGTATGTTTTTTGATTGAGTTGTCTAGAACGTTCACCTGTTCACTACCACCATAGGTCCAAACGATGCCTTCTTCGCCATGAACGTGGAATTTCAGCAAGAAGGTATTGCGCGTGCTCGCCGATCAAAGCGTTGATTCTTGTCCTTTCCTTCATCATTTACGAGTCGGTAATGTTTCGCCTGGCCAAATTCCCTTTGATTCATTCCATCCCAGTACGCTTTTCAACGAAAGAAAATTCGCTCATTAAGTGGCGCTTAACGTTGACCTTCAACAACTTAGGTTCAATCCCAATGAATGGGCGGTAATCGACGAGCGTACTCAGAACCCAGAGCTGCCAGTATTCTCCTTCCGGTGTAGACAACCTTATTTTCCGGAAGTTTGGGGGTACGAGACACCCACCAGCAGGGATGACGGCTGCTAAAATTCTGGACGTTCGAGAAGAAGTCCTGGCGCTCAATTTCTCAGGTTAGAGCGTATTTGGAGTACGTGGTTCTGGCGAAGCAAGACGAGGAGGGGATGATTTGGCATCTTTATCCCGATGAAGAACCTCATCCTGCCTTGGACGGGAACAGGCAAGGTAGCCCACACAGGGTGCGTGTATTGATTTATATGTTACTACTTACTGATCATATGGTATGTCTAGGAATCATTCCATGTTGCTCTGTTGAAACGCACAACTCATTTTGTACGTCTGCGAGTATGGGTTAGAAAAATGTCGACGAAAGATTCTTGGTGTTTCGCTCGACAAAGTCATCGATGGAATGACTCCAGAGGAAATTGATACTGTTGCTTCCCAGTTGCGATCTATTCAAACCAAGATAGCGGTTATGCCAACCGTCGTCGGGTCGATAGTAGCCGGTGACTAGTATCGCAACGAGTTCTGGCTACTTTGGAGGGCGCCTCCCACAACCGTTCCCCAGCGTGTCGGACTTTGTCGAGTACCATCAACAATTTTTGGGCCATGATATTCCGCTTTGCTTGGTTGAAAACATGCTCGCTGCCTTACCTCTCGACGTGGCCATGTGTTTTGTCCACGGTGGCTTCTTCCCAAACAATTTTCTGTTGCTCACGATCATTGATTGTGCGACGCCCTCGCGCTTGCTCACCTGTATAAGGGATCTGCAGAGAGGGGGACATAAGACCGGTGTTCGAGCTCAATAACATCAGCCTGTATTTAACTAACTTCATGATCAGCTCTTTTTGCTCCCCAAGCGAGTCGAGATGAAAGGCTCGCTTTACGACTTCTCTCACTTCTTGACTCCAGTCCTTTCAAAACGTATTCCTCAGACTCACAACACCCTCCAGTGGTGAGGAAAAGTTCATGGGAGTATATCTGTCAGAAACAGATGGTCCAATCACAATTAATCGTGACTGGAGTCACTCCATCGGTCAGGGCGCTCTTTACTTGATCAAACCTCACGACTAGAAAGGATCGCAACACACCACAACCAAATCCTCGCCGAACTCGAGACTGAGATGGCAATCGCTCAGGAAGCCTTGAAAACTATGATGGAGCAGCGAAATGATACACACGCCCTGTTGGCGCCCTTGAGCAGCACTGTCGACGCAGGTGAAGCTCTCTTTGATAACGTTGACGAACAAATGGTTGACGTAGAATGCGATTTGTACTCGCTGCAAGGTGGATCAGAGAAGCAGATCTCAAGCGCAAGCATCACGGATCATAGCGAAACTTTGTACGAAGTCAAACCTGAAATCGAGGAAGGCCAACTAGAGCTGCGACGGCCCTTGAAGCAACGTAAAGACATCTCAGAGCAGTTGGATCACCATCGTGACCTACTCTCGCCCATACGCAAGGTTCCCCCAGAGATCATTCGTACCATATTCTTACTCTAGGCCTCCGACAGGCATTTTCTCCAATCCCCAACTTATGTCTCTCCGAGTGTTCTGACTGGCGTTTGTGTTGCCTGGAAGAATATTGCACTCGGTATGCACGAATTATGGTCCTTCATACTGGTCGAGATACGGAAAGGGAAGTTCTACCCTGACAAACATACCGTTGAAAGGTGGATCGAGCGCTCTGGCTCCTCCGCGCTTTCTTTCTCTATTGAAGAAAGAGATTCATCTTTTCATGCAGGAGTTGATCAGATTCCGCCCACCATACCACACGACAATACGAATTCTGAGCACCCCGCTGGATCACCAGTCGCGTCCATGCTCGACCCCTTCAGTCCCCATTACTCTCGATGGCAGAGAGTCCGTCTGAGATACAGCGATGCATCGCCTGGTACAGTTGTTACTGCCTTGCCATTGCCCATAAACACGACGTATCCTTTACTTGAAGAGGTATACTTGGACAAAGGTTACTGGTGGGCACAAGAAGATCTAGACTGCATCAAATCCATGATGGTCTCCGCACCACGGCTCCATTCCGTTACCTGGCTAAGCGAGAAATCATACAAAATGCTTGCATTTCCATGGAAGCAGCTCACACACTTCTTGCAGGGCCCCATTGCCACTATGAACGAGGGTCTTCGTGTCCTAGCGATCTGTCCTCATCTCAAATCCCTGGAGCTGACGCTCTTTCTTCCCATGTTTCCCATCGACGACGACGACGATCCATTTGTCCACAACACTTTAGAACGCCTACATCTACGTACTGCAGGTAACCTGGCAGTCCTTTTCGACAAAGTCACTCTACCAGCTCTGAAGGATCTATCGCTCTCCGAATTACATGGAGCCTCACCCAACCCCCCTGTACAGCTTGGCCGGTGGCCACAATCCCAGTTCCTTCCATTCCTCCTACGTTCAGGTTGCACCATCAAGCAATTCATCATTCAGGAGTGGGATATTTCAGCAGAAGAGATAGCGGAGTGCCTCGTACATCTGCAGATATCGAAGTCATTGGATTCGTTGTCTATCACGGAATATCACCAAAAGCATCTGTGCATGACGGATGAGGTTCTTAGGCGGTTGACGTATACCCCATCAGTTATCTCGTCAAAAAACGTTCTGTGTCATGGGGATGACCAGCTGGCCGAGGACACCCCATTGGAGACTATCTGTCCAAATCTCACGACCATCAGGATGTGGGGATGCATTTCTGCCCAGGATGGAAAGGTCGCAGATATGGTAGAGTCGAGATGGTTATCCAGGACCGAAGGTTGCCCCATCGTGCAACTCAGGACGGCGGCAATAGGGGTTTTCGCTGACGCATGTCATACGGAGGATTGGACTCGGTTGGAGGCGCTGAACGTAGACAGGTCCGGGATCACACATGTTCGACTGTGATGGTGGGGTCAATTTTTGTTATCTATACATGCCAAGATGCAGTCGCCCTGATTGACACTGACCAACGCCTGAGCTTGGACAGCTTGTGGCGAATACAAGAGTTCCTGTTCATGGATCTTGTCGAGTGCGATGGTATATATGTGTCTGCGCTGTATACTTAGTAGACAAGCATTAAAAAGGCATTGAACAAAAGGAAGTCCTTTGAATTTGAGGAGTGTTGACGGCAACTTCAACTCGTAATTACATGGTCATGGTCATAGTATGCATCTTAATCTCCGTCATGCACCATCATGAATGCTGTTCAGCACCTATGTATCCTGTGCTTCAACTTTCCATCTGCCTATCAACACCGAGTTGAAATCTCAGTCAGACTCAGTGGGTATTGTTGATCATTGGAGTTATGGCAAATGTTAGCGGGCCCTCGAGGTGAGCAAAACTTAATGCTTGACTAAACCATCCCCCAAGCTCTAACAGCGCGGCCAGCTCCCCATCTCTTTTATGTCAGTCTTAATCGACAACGATATCCGGGGGAGAGTTCAACAATGCTGCAGGAGACCATAATGGACTCGTCGTCAATATCTGTATGACCTTCCAAACGCTACAACGATACAGTGCTGATGGAAATCTTGATTTAACAGATCAGGGAGGGCAGATATACCCAGGCAACCAATTGGTTAGAAGGTCCTTGTCATGGAAGTTATTGAACTAAATGATTTTCCCTCCAAGCTATTGGCCGGTGGCAGCTAGTTGGACCATCTCCATCGAAGAGCGAGATCCATTCCTCCGCAGCAGCCGCGCTGGGATTGACTACACTCTTCCCACCATACTTACCGCCGAACCAGAATCCGAGGATCCCACCGATTCAGTCGTTTCGTCCATGCTCGAGGTCTTCATCACCCATCACTCCCGATGGCAGAAAGTCCGTATACGATACAAAGACGCATGGTCCGAGAAAACCGGGTTCGCTTCACTGCCCAAGGATACCTCGTTTCCCTTGCTCGAAGAACTATACTTGGAGAAAAGTTACTGGCTGGAACAGGACGACGTGGATCGCATCACATCGACGATGCTTTCCGCACCACGGCTTCATTCCGTCAGTTGGCTGAGCCAGAAACCGTTCACGACGCTCACCTTTCCCTGGGCGCAGCTCACGCACTTCTGGCTGGGCCACATCATTTCGATGACTGAGGGTCTCCGCATCATCACATGCTGCCCTCAGCTCACGTCTCTAGAGCTGACGCTCATTCTTCCCGTCCAAGTTACCATCACAAACGGCTCTGACCCAATTGTTCACAACAATCTACAATGCCTCCATCTAGGCACGACAGGCGACCTCGGAATTCTATTTGACAAGCTCACACTACCAGCTCTGAGTGATCTCTCGCTCTCTGAGGTCCACGGGTCCTTTCCCAACATTACCCCCGTGCACATCAGCCACTGGCCGCAATCCCAGTTCCTTGCATTCCTCCTTCGTTCTGTGTGCACCGTCAAACACCTCATCATACAAGAGTGCGATATTTCCGCGGAGGAGATGCTGGAGTGCCTTGCACATCCGCAGATATCAACGTCGTTAGATTCGCTGTCCATCACGGAAGATCATCAAAGGCATTTATGCGTGACGGAGGAGGTGTTGAGGCGGTTGACGTATACCACCTTCGCAGAAAAGGTTCTGCATAGTGGGGGCGATCTGCCGGCGGAGGAGACCATTACTGAGACGCTCTGTCCGAATCTCAGCACCATCAAGCTATGGGAATACATTTCTGCCCAGGATGGGAGAGTGGCGGATATGGTTGAGTCGAGGTGGTTATCGGCCGAGAATTGCCCCGTTAAGCAACTGAAGATGGTGGTCATTGGGCTTTTCGCTAATGCATGTCATACGGAGGATTGGGCTCGGTTGCAGGCGTTGAACCGGAAGAGGTTTGGGATCACGTATCTTCGACTATAATATGATGGTGCGTCTATTTTGATTTCTGTCATATGCATACGCGCACACGTTCGAAATTTAGGTTCCTCGTTGCGAGCTTTTGAAGTACATCCATCACCAGAAAAAAACTACTAGATAGAACCCCGTGCAATCTCTCTTGCAAATGAGCCAGTGCCAGGAGGAAAAGACCAATACATCCCAAGCCCATCAATGGCGTCTTGAGCGTCTCCCCTGTTCACCAATCCAGCATCCACCAGATCCAGTACAAAGATGGAGAGCCAGTATCGACATCCTTCACCCACCGGAGCGAACCTATACACGTCCCTTTTCTTTGTAATCAAGACATCTAGAACCGTCGCCACACTACAGCTCTCACCAATCACAGGAAGCGATTTGTGAAAGACGTTGTAGGCGTCATAATTGACCTGTTCCGTGTCAAGCATGACCATCGCAACATCGTTATCGTCTGGAGCGACGTCAATGTGGACCGAGGAAGTTGGTGATGTTTCGAGGTACATGGTCCAGTGGTTGGTGGGTTGTTGCCCGTCGCTACCAGAGTTGTCCTCGTTTGGGTGGGCGATGAAGTGGATGTGGGAGATGGGGAGGGGGAGGTTGGTTTTGGAGAATTGGCTGATTCCCCAGTGGTCGTTTACGGTGTTGAAGATGTGGTTTCGGACTTTTTCTCCGACCGAATTCGATGTTAGTGTGTTAAGACGCATGGTATGGTTGTTCTGTGAAAACTTTAGGTCGGCTCGAGTATACATAAAACTTTAGAAGAAACATACTTACCTAGAGATACTCGAATCCCGGGGTGATTCTTCGCTGTCTTTGTAAAAGATGAATAGAATAAACTCTCGTAAAGGGAGGACGAGGATGGTTTCTGTTGTGTCGTGGATGGGGAGCAGTGAGTCTGAGCAGTCATAATATGCCAGTTCCGCCATGATGTATGGTGCATGAGTCGTCGCGGCACCGAACGAAAAGGTTGACTCTGAGATCTGGCTTCGAAAAAAATGCCATTGAGTTGGTTGTTTGGTAAAAGGTGCACAACCCTCCTAATCCGGACTGACCCAAAAAAACACATCTGTTGCCTCGGGTTTTGATTCCATAGAGACTGGAGTCGAGTCTAGGTAAAATGCATCGGCGTGGACCCAGATACCGGATCAAATTCACTCAGTTTCCTCTCTTCCAACTCCGAGTCCTATCAGCTACGATAAATCCTTTGTCCCATCCACTAGAACCAAACACTTCTTTCCGCACCTCGAACTTCAAGCCTTTCACTTGCAAAACCCCTTGAACACTCAACCAAAATTTCCTCTGACGTCCCAGCGTATGTGACCCTCGAAAACTACGACGGGAATGTAGTATCAGATCGGACCTTCCCGTGGCCAACAGCCTGCACCTTCCAAGCAGCTTCACCCGGTTACAGACTTCTGGCAGTACGAAGACGCTACGGTCTCATGGACTCCCTTCTACCCATGGCTACGCCCAAACGGACGGTTCGTGGGCGATATTTAAACTGGACGAAATAATGCCCGGCCGTCATGGACCGAAAAAGACTGGAACTAGTGAAGTCTGGTCGGATAGATCATCTTGAAAGAAGGTGGCTATTGTTACTTATTGGCGCTATTGCAGATCATGGACTCAATTTTTCTTCGAGATGGAGGTTCAGATCTGTAGGCCTGACGCAGGAAACGTACCGACGGCGGGCGTTGACGGTTTCGAACACGCCGGAAGGGGTTAGTTCTCGATCCTATTCATCGTCAATGGGACTCAGCGGAGACTTTATAGAGACCCGCGAATGAATACCGCGAACGTACGCGAGACCGTGACAGAAAATGTCTAATAACAGGTCTCGAATCATACACCTGGACCCAATCACGCGCAGCCCACAACACTCATCTTTCTGGAGTAAGCAGTTTGAAATACCTTCATCTTACCCCTACTTAACAGCTCTGAACCCAAAAGTGGCTTCAAGGTTCTACGAGCACATCAACGACCCCGGCGGCACCCTCCCTTCAAGCTCAAGTTGATCAGCTCGGCGGACCTACCGACGAATCAAAAATCGACTCAATTCAAAACGTCTTCCTCCTCCGCGCAGACCTCCACGAAAGCTGGGACGACTACAAGTTTGGTGTCAACCCCGACGTACGTCTTCTCGAGGTCTTCACTTCACAGGGAACTTGGGAATGCTAAGACGGCTACCGAATCACCGCATTCGTCCATGGCTTGGGCGATATCCACGGTTCATTCCTAGGCCCCAATCATATCTCGAACTCGCATATACGACCACTTGATCTTCTATGTATGCAAGAATCACTTCTTTCAATGCGTCTTGAAGAACATGAAGGGTGCAGGGGAGCCAACATAGGACTACGAAGATGCCTTGGTTGATGGCGGGTTCGACTCGTCGAGGCAAGATTTCTGGGGAGATGCTCAAGGCAGAAAGGCTCGAGGTAGAGCTTTCGCAACCGACTCTTTGGACACCAATAGTAAGTAAGGTACTACAGACGGTTTTGGGCAGTTAATCCATCATCATAGTATTATGTATGCCTACCAGATAGTAGATTACCCAGCATCTTGCGAATCAGACCTTTCTTGCAGCCATGATATAACCTTCAAAGTCGTAACTTCGGGGATATTCATAAACGGGATCCCTCCGGCTGTCCAAAGAAACGATATCGTTACAGCACTTCCATGAGATTCCACGTTTTTTTACAGCTTACCTTATTTGGCTTGGGGATGCAAGAATTGCACGTCGAGCGTCGAGTTAGAGCAGACTATGCCTGTCACACGAGCTTGTGCAGGTCACACGTCACAGGAGCCACAGCTTCAAGATCAATGTGGCTCTCTTCACGACGGGGGTTCGGTCGGTTTTCGTGGGTTAAAGAAACCTTGCAAGGTGATGGTCGTGTAGCAGGGCTCCGAAAAGCCCCCCCGCATCATTTTGCCTCATAACAGCGACCACATACGCTGAAACGGTTTTGTGTTGAGATAAAGCCGCAAAAACCTCCACTTGTCCACATGTTGTTTGTTACCACAGCCAAAACGAAGGATCGTAAAGCCCGTTGCAGATGTTGTACATCAAGCGATGGGGTATGTTCACCCAGATAAACGTATTTCTTTTGAAATTTGTGTGCCATGGCGGTGGCCCGGTACTTGAAGCCTTCCCTCGCTAGACCATTACAGCGGTTTCAGTGCGAAACGACTCGAGCATAAGTATGAAGCCCACCATGAGTTAACGATTAGTCACTGCCGAATAGTGTGAGATAACTCAAAGAAGTACCTTGGATGATGAGCGCTAACTCTCAAGGGGCTCCAGTCCGACCGCTACGAGCTTACTCTTGCCCACTTGAACAAATTAACGTTGCCTGGGGCTTGTGAAGGGCAAACGGCAAGTCCAAGTTGTGCGATATCATCCGTGACATTTAGCTTGATAACGTCGTACATAGCAGTCGTAAGACTTTCGATGAGAGCTGAATTAAAAAGCCATGTTGGTAGTTGGCATCGCCCATGAGCGCTGAGTGAAGTGTGCTGGTAAGTCCACAACGAGTGTTCGAGGACGACTGAGCAAGTACCTCGCCTTCCCAACCAGCTGGCCCAGCTCTCCCCCGCTCATGAAAGTTGATTTTTTGGCCGCCACGTAACGCGAATGATCAATTGAGAACACAGTTCGCCCTTCGACGTTTAAATTGCCTCATAACTTGACAAGGAGAGCAGGAAGACGGCTGAGAGGAACATCAAGTATTTTTAATCAATTTTCGTGGTCCATCCTCGAGGTTGTGGGTAAAATATAATCTAAAAACGATTCACATGAAAGCTGAAGGAACGCTAATAGGAAACGACATACATGGACACGCTTTCCACGGAAATCGGAACCAAACCAGAGCTGGGCCTTTCAAACATTGTCAGGGGATTGCTGGAGATTTGTTCAACGATGAAGAACGAGACTAGTGCTGGGTTAGATTGATATCGGCTGGTGTTAGTAACGTTAGATTGGTTTGGGCCCCTGCGCGAGGTTAGATACTTGTGTTAGTAACTGTGAGATACCCCCGTGGGAACATTTTTTCCACACAGTTAATAACGTGTTAATAACATAAATATGGGGTATCTAACATGTTAGAAACATGGTGTGTGTATGTCCATGGTTATTCAATAGGGGAGGAGGGAGCAAATTTATCGTTGTGTTGAGACTATGCTGCTAATATATGTTGAGAGTCAGAAGTTTTTTAGGGGCTGTGTGCACACCAGGCAAATTCTGTGGCCAAGCAGTGGTCAACCAGCTGCCAACCAGCACAAAAATCAAGCCAATAACCTGACTCTTTATCAGAATTCCCTCCCTTTTCAAAAAATCAGGCAAGCCTAACAGTGGACCCTCAAGGTGTGTCGCACAAAAACTACTATTGCCCCCCATACTGATATAGGGTATATCACAGTGTATCACGCCTGGTTACGTGACCCGGTTACGTCACGTGAGCGCTGGCAACCCTCCCTTTTGGCGCGCGCCGTCACCTCCGTCACGCGGCTGGTAACCTCTCTCCGGCGATCCGGGTTCGCGGAGTCCTCGATAGCGTAGATAGCGTCACACGAATGAATCCGTTTTTTCCGCTCTCTCCCCGTTCCCATCTGATCCCTGTCTCCCCTCCTCCTCTTTGGGATCAACAGTCTTTTGGACCTCAGTCCCCCCCTCCGTGCAGCTCCTGTGTGACCCCCTCATCTGTTCGAGAGAGGTGACCCCGATCGAGGAAACCACGCATCCCGAAGGTGGAAACCGCTATTGCGGCTCCTGCTTTTCCCTCGAGAACGGAATCCTCGAATGCGACCCCAACGATAGCGGATAGTGAGGTCCCAATTGCGGCATCGAAAGGTGTTTCCGCGATCGAGGAAACCTTTTTAGATGTACCAAATTGACTACATCTCAAGAATAAAAGACAAAATTTTAAGAGCCACATCTGTAGTGAGGCTCATCAAAATCCAGATAATGCACGGTTAACATTTTAATGAGGTTCTTTGCTGAAATTTGGTCTGAACTATTGCCTGCAAAAATAATGGTTACCATTTTTCTAGGAGGCTCATTGAAAAAGCAGTTCTCAAGCCTATGCTTTTTGCAAATGCTATTGAGCTTCCAAAAGCATACTTTGAAGGGGTTAATATAATTAAATCTAACTAGTTTGATTGAGCAAATAAAGGAGCAGCTCACGCGACGCTTCGACGGCGCGTTGTCGCAAAAATATCGATAATGGCTCCGAGAGCCACACGTTCCGTATTTGGCCAAACTTGCTAAAGGGACAATGTAAATACATGAAAGCTAATATAAAACAATGGTAGTATGTGGGGGACAATGGCAATATATGCCAAGGATTTAGGTATTCAGACTGGTAACGTTACCTGCACACCAGGTAACGTTACCAGTGGGTTACCAGCGGGTAACGTTTGTCTATGATATATCCTGTATATCACATCGCATTTTGGAGCCCCCCTTGTTAGATATGTTACTTACATGTTACTAACGTGTGATATACCCCCATGTTACTAACATCCAAGTAACAAACCCTGCACTAAACGAGACACCCGTGGTTGTGATTGTTGGTGGCAAGAGACAAGTGACTTTGATCATCATTATGCGTGTTGAACTCGACCACAACAATTACTCGCCGAACTCACTGCCAGCTCAATCACGACACTATCAAAGGTGATTTGTTGTTTAAATAATGCAACCATTCATGCTGACCCTGGCTTGTTCAAGTACGTGTGGCACTTAACATGTCGGTGAAGTCCTGCAGGTGGACGACCAATAGACGACGCCGCTTTGCTAGTTCTCCCCCAAGTGATGGCTTTCGCTGGCGATGTCAACGTGTGAGATTCAGAAATCGAAGTTCACTCTGGAGATTTAACAAAACTTTATGTAGACTCACTCAGTGCTGCCGACGTTGAGCGCCTCACTCCCCATCAAGTTTCTGATCCGGCTGGCGATTTGAATGAGGCTAGGCCATGGCACTTAACATGTTCCCAGACCTGCCATTTGAAACGCTATCACACGTTCTGAGCGCTAATCTCTCCGCTTTCACTGATAACCACCATGTCTTCCTCTGGGAGTGGAAGCTCCCCCAGCATTGAGATTTTCGGCAAGTCCTCCCAAAATTTTGCCACTGCTGAAGCCAAACATCTAATTTCCACATGCTAGAAATCCGCGTTACATCGCGAAGCGTTCTTAAATCGGTCGAGCTTTCAATCAGATCGTTCAAGCGGGAATCATACTGTCGCCTGGGGAGAACAACCCACACATATGAGTTGTCATCCCCCTGGTGAGGCGATCATGCGTAGCATTGGACGACAAATTAAACCCAAGCAGTCAACTTTCATCTTTAGAGCCACTTTGTCTTCGAGTCCGATTCCGTGATTTGTTTCGTGTTATGTCGAAGAACAAGATACATTTTGATGAATTGCTAAGCAACGTGGACCCCCATCCTC